CGATCACATGAGAGGTATGCAGTAGTTACCGTGCTTTGAAGGTACAAAGAAAGTTGTTCAGAAGCATAAAAATCCATAATCTAACTAGTGATTACATTTGCCTAACGTCCAATGAGAAAATTACAATTAGTCACAATTGGAGTGTGAAGCGATTGGTCCATCAATTGGACCCAGTATGACAACGAGAAAATACTTGTATTAGTAAATAATCATTGACCTGAATAGTTTCTCGGTAAAGTTTGTGACGTCTCCGTTGAGTGGTGCCATTTTGGATCTCTGACGGGACATGAGTTCACTCATAATTCCACATATGTAAGTGTGACTCATTGGTCTGAGCACTAGACCTCCAATCACTGGATCAGTGGTTCGAACCCTACTTCACTTACTGAAGTTTATGAAACCAGGTAGTATTGTAATCCTTCGCTCAAAAGATATGGCTCATGGCCTAGTGACTGCAAAAACCAAATCTTTCATGCAAATGAGTTCACCTATCCACTCAGCTGAATAACTGACTTTATAGATACTGTTTGTTATCGACTGTTTCACTATATAAACCGAACACCTTGGAATAGAGAAATTCATTCTCCATACATGATAGTCGAATAAGTTTCAAGAAAACGGATACCGCTCAGTCGTGAAGAGTATAGTTTCCACAGAAAAAGGTATCATGCATTCAGTATTCCTATTGTATCAGTTCACTGGTCATTACATGGTAGGGATTTAGAATAAAGAAACAAGCAGACGATTGACAGTGGTCAATTCCTTGTATGAGGAAGTCTAGCGTGAACAATTTATCTGCTTCTAACGTGTGCATCTCAAGTGGAAAAATTAGATGATAAAAGTAATGTTTTTCAAAAACTGCAATTATCATAGATGGAACTACTTTTTTAAGATACAATGAGGTTTGGCACAGTAGTAGGGAACAGAATATTCACGAAAGGAAGTGAAATGACAATGACATAAAGCGATGGTTAGAAGAGGGATCAGATAAAAAATAGCAATCATAAATTTTTCTAGTAAAGAGGATAGAATCAAGCTAATAAACTACTTACCTTCGTTTTCTATCTTGAAGTTCATCTTACTTATCAGAAGACAGGAAAATACCTTAGAGTTGGTGCTCACTTTGATCCCGAATCATATGTGGTAAAGTACATAGCCAATAAGTTATGTGGTCTCAAGACGCCACCTAGATATGTAACAATGGCTAATAAGCTTGTATACCAAGAATATATGGTATTAGCATTGCACCATCGAAGTGTAAAATACTTTATTAGGATTAACATTCACTCTTGGAGCTTTAACTGTAGGTAGTAGTCGATAAGTTTGTGTATCTGAGTTATTGTGTGGGTTCATGTGGAGTTACGATTGATGAGATTTCCAACTGCATGTTGAAATCCATAACAGCCGCACATACTCATTTTTGTCACCATTGGGATGTTGACCGGACTGCAAAAGGTTGGGTGTATCACATTTAGGTATGTACAATTGTTCTGTGTACATAAAAACGTGACCTTTCCACGCGGAAGATGTTTCATGATTATACGTATTTGATCACCTTTATCTTGGAAGGATTATTCACATTACCTGAAAAAACACCATGTAAGTAGTTCTGAGGTCCAATGTTAAGTGTCTAGAAATGATCAAAATCATCACAAGTTATGTGAAATCATCTTCAGACATCAGCTTCAGTTGTTTTGATATGCGATATCACTACCGTGCGAGCGGATCTATGTTCACCGTTTGCTAGTCCTGGGATCATTGATCAATACATGACATGGCACTGTCAACAGGAGGAATGTTGTGTTAAGTCGGCATCTGTTGGTGTCCCAATACTTTCTTGATGGGGTAGGAGAGATTATAGGACTCAGTGGCTTCAAATATCATCAGATATATCTCAGAATGTAGTTCCACAGTCTTCGTTAATATGAGAGTAAAACTTGGGCACCGTGGTAGAATGTTATTCCATTTTAGTCGGTTTATTAGATGTATAACAAATCGTTTACTACATTACGTTTCGGGAATAATTTATTGTCCATAGTCATATCAAGATAACTTCACAACTTTGACACATCCTTTTTGTAGATCTAATTTTCTCCCCTCCTTTTTCATATGGGTGGTTGTGAAAGAAGCAAGAAGACTGGTACGAAGGAAGGAATGTTTATTGTCAACAGGTGGGATAGTAGTGGTTAAATAAGGTACACCTTGCACTAAAACCATCACTTGTAAAATATGCTTCATTTCCTCTGCTTCTTTGTTGATTTGGTCTTCATACGTTTGCCTTGTCTCTTGCGTTTCTCTTGACGGAGTCCTCACCCATTGCTGGTAATTCCCTATGATTTATGCCACTCTCTCAACATATACTACTTATATCGATTCTTATCAGGAACGCCCACTGCAATAGGAGTTGCCGTATATCCGGGACTGGTGCTGATTGTCATTCCTATTGCATGTATTAAGCATTGATTCGATAAACAGGGATTCGGTTACCAATCTCTCCCTCCACCCTGCCAGGTTAGTTCTAAGGATTTTCACACTATCTCGTCCTATTGTGAGGTTGTGTAAATGCATGCATAGCTGTGCCTGAGATTAGTTTCTTTATTTTTTAATTTTACTAGGATCTACCTATTTTGACCTAGGTAGGTTTCTCTGCTCGGATGGCCTAAATGATATTGGTCGACTACTCTTACCTATGTATTTGACCTCGCATTCGTTGCAAAGTATTTGGTAAACTAAATTATTCTGATCAATTGGATCAGTTGGATCGTTTAACCCACAAAGCTTGTCTCTAAATGAGTTCGTGGGTTTAAATGCCCCTCTAATCTCAGCCTTATTGAGAATCCTAGGTAATATCTCTGAGGTACCTTCCACGTATGGTAATACTGCTACCGTAGAGGTTTTGAATTCTCTCTTCACGGTATTGCTATCAACATTATTGTTAGCATTATTATTACTAATATGAGTCATATTTTTCTTAGTGAACTTATCAATGAATTTAGCAGAGTAATGGCTGGTGGGTAGGGTCCTTAGTTTATCTGGTTTCTTTTCTTAGATATTCCGTCTTACTAATAAGCTTTCTGGTCCTGCTACTAAGACATTTTACCAAGTCAACTTTAACTGATTTAGGGTGAAATGATTTGAAGTCTGAGCAACGATTCGAGTGTGAAGTTTCTCTCTATAGACACTAGTGTCAAAACTCCCATCTTGTTTCCATTTTATTCTGCAATCCAACATCGCTAATTCCCATTCACCATTTTATAAGTCATAGGTGAATTGGATTGTGTTGACTACTGAATCTGTATGTGCAAAGGAGCTATGTATATGCTTTGATTTCAATACTGTGAATGTGTCAATTGGGCTATCCGATGACAAAACCCAGCTAAATCGGAATTTATAGATCTTAGTAGGATGAGGAATTTAGAGAACAGCTCATCCGTAGTCATGCTTACAACCACAGTAGAATGAGATAGAATGAAAATGCTTAAAACTAACATAGCAGGGTGAAAGGAGATTGATAACCGAATCCTTGTTCATCGAATCAATGCCTGATACATGCATCAGGAATGACTAAGCATCTGTCCCAAATATGTAGAAAATCCTACTACCCATGTAACAAAGCAGGTGAGAGAATGACAACTACGCAAACCGTGTCTCAAAGTTTTGGGGTTATCTTGATATGACTGTGGACAACAAATCGTGTCCTAAACGTAGTCCGGTGGACAGTAATGCTGTTTCACTGTGATACATTTAATAAATCAACTAAAATGGAACCATAGTTATTATGATTTTTATTGTGTCCATTTGCACACAGTAGTAAGAATCCAATTAAAACTACTTTCTAATCACTATATAAAGCTGACTTTGTTATCATTGCTTTCTTCTTTCACCCTACCTCTTTCGTATTTGGCTTCACAGCGTTGATATATTACTGTTGTGTGGCTTATTTCTTCGCGCTCATGTTATGCTTGATTTGTGTTCAAAGCAACTTTTATTGAAGAAAGCTAGGCTAACATATTGCACCCGCATTACTTAAGCAAAATCGATGACTTCTGTTGCCCCCCCCCCCCAATATTTTCATTTTTGGCGAGTAGTTCTTAGAATCGGATCGATTGAGAAGATTTGATTACAGTGTTATCAGAGATTTCAAAACCTGCACTTCAAGACGTCTTGGTTTGTCGAACAATAGTCTATGTGCCCTAAGTACACACCTTTAAACCTCAATACTAGTTAGATGGTTTGTCACACTAGATGTTAGCAATGTGACGAAGATGAGCGGTGGTTGAATAAAAGAAATTCCGAGATTAGTATCAGGAACGATAACTCAATTTTCGTCTTCCTCTAAATGTTAAACACTTGTAATTCCCGTCCATATATATTCTTCACATTTATGTTCATGCTTTTTGTTTAGACTGTCGATAAGTTTGATACTTTTGCACTTGGTGGTTGTACATTGCTACGTCTGCCTGTATTTTAGTGTCGATAAGTTATTCATGCATATATATATATATATATATATATATATATATATATATATATATATATATATACATCCCACTAGAATTGTAGAGGTTAATACCTTTGTATATTGTGTGGCCATGTTAGTGATTCATAGTGTCCAGTTGTTCTGATCCTTCAATGAAACTCCATCGGAGGACAAGCACTGTGGCTCATTCCATTATGTAGTTGTTGAGTTATGTTAACACTGACTTACAAACTGATTCTTATATATTCAGAAATTATGGTTAGAGTTAAACAAGAATTTGGGTTGGCTATGAAAGGACTCGAATCAGAGGCTTCTTATCACACCTCTGGCACTCAACTGGTTCAACTACCCTGAGAGCCATTTGAAGCTGGACCCAGGAGCTGAAGGTTAGAATCTTATTATTATCATCGAATTTCTTTATTAGTTTTCAGTCATCATCACTGTAAACGTACTTATTGTTGTGTTTTGGTGAATCGTCACTTTACGCCTTTTTCTGCTTTCATTTCTTCTTATCTTCTAGTGGTCCACCAGTGTTTCTGTTCCGTCTACCACGACAGTTCAGACAGGCAATTCATTTCGATTTTCTCCCAATCCTTTCACATCTACTGCGACTGGGACTACAATATCTTCATCTAGTTCTATGACTGGACTGATTCACTCCTCGTCAAATTCCACTATAGATCTTAATACACCTATATTATCGGGTTTAGGATCGACGAGCCTTACAGTTTATCCAGTTCATGTCTCTGCAAATGGTTCCACTGTACTTGTGGCTGCATCTCCGTCAACAACAACAATACCAACCATTCAAGATACTTCTAAATCATGTTTTGCAAATAATCCAACTGTGTCTATTTACTCTTCATCATCATTTGGGAACTGTTTAAATTCTGTCGGAGAGATAACCACCTTATCCCCATTGTCTGTCACATGTAATTCTAATTTATCTATTAATTCAGTTACTAGTCCTACACCTGTGCACACTTCAACCCCACGTGGAAAGCCTAAATTTAAGGCACTATGGGAATCTACACTTTCTAACAATGATCGAAGTAGTCGGTCATCTACTACTGTTACTTCTGCTAGTGGTGATAGTGGTATTGAATCTTTAATCAATTTCGAGCAGACAACACACCGATCTCTTGAGGAATCTGCGACTACCACCACTGCACAAACAAGTTCAACATTATCAACAAATTCATTGTCAAAAATAAGTCGTTCAAATAAGCGTCAATCACCTATGCTTGGACTGAAATCAATCGGACAAACACCTAAGCGCCTTGCTGCAACAGCGGCATCATCCCTTACACAGGACAATAAATCTAATTCTTCGGATGGATGTAGAAAAAAATTCCTTCTTATCTGCTCTCCACCGAAAAGTGTTCATACCAAAAGTCAGATGGAATCAGATTCTAGTCTGTGCTTATCTGGAGGTAATAATTTGCCTGAGTCTGTCTTATTATCGACTAATACATCTACTTCATCGATTGAATTAGATACTCATAATCCTACTACTGGACAGTTAATGACTCCTGCATCTGATGATTGTATGCCAACATTGGTAGTTAAAGCTTCAGAACGTAATGCTACTACCACTTCTACTTCTGCCACTACTACTTCTATTACCACTAATGATAATAATAACAACAATAACCCTTTGAAACAAACTAATTTATTACATTTTACAGGATCTAATGTTTCATCTAGTCGTGAGTCTTCAGATATTGCCGATTCAGATCCTATTGGTTGTGAAGTATTAATTGGAAAAACATTTGAAAGTGGAAGACGGAGTTTGAAAGAAGAGCCAGTAAGTCCATTCTTCTACTTTTTGATCTAATGTTCAATAAATAAAAAACTTACAAGCAATAGAAATATTCAGGCATTTTAATTTATCTTAATAATACAACAGTTTTATGTAATCACTCTTTTAGTTGATAATTTTCTGACTACTTAATTGGAACTGGTACCGTTTTACATTTTAAAATGTAGACATGGTCAGATAATTGACTAGTTTAGGATTGGAATTTCACCCTACTTTCAAATAAGTCACTCCAATAGTATCTTTGTACTTCTGCTTCTTTCTAGGCTGTCTTACACACACTAAACACATCCGGTGTGCTGCTAACTTGATGACACATTCGTCCAAGGTTCTATTTTTTTTGTTTCTGTCTGTCGTAGAACAACCCTAAACAAACCTAAGTAGTTTGACAATAGATACTATAGCCAGTTTCTAAAGATACCTTAAGTAGTATCAACAATGCACGAAATGTTGTTTGAGGATATCTAAGAAGAAACGATGGAAAAGCAAGTAATGCTGTCAGTTTATAGGGTTTCATTTCTAAATGTTGTGAGTATTTTTAGACAGTCTCGGTTTTATCTTTTGCAACTAACCATAGAAAGTCTCTTTCCAAAATAAAAACAATGACAATGTGGCTAATTGGCTAGAGCACTAAACTTCCAAACAATGGATCCTGAATTCAGTTCCCTTCCACCTACTTTAACCTGAATAACCGGGTAGTATGGTAAGGCGCTGCCCCTACACAATAAGTATGTTTAGCAGACATAGTACATGAACATTTACTGTTTTAGTTGCATTGCATTATCAGTCATTTTTAATCCAGAAATATTATATGAGAATGCCAAAGATTTCTCCAACCCTGAAAGTAGTTAGAGCAAAACTATTGACGCTTGACTACACCAATCATTTGAATTTCTTATTCGAAAACTCGTTATTATTGTGTGCAAATATATATTACAAATAATATTTACAATAAACTAATCCATTCCTCAATGCAGAAAAACCTCTCTGAGTTCGAATATAAAACTTTTGTTCAACACTATGGAGTTGGATACGAAATCATGACAAATTAACCTTATCAAAGTCTTTTCCAAACTTTTTATGCTGAGGTTTAGTATGAAATAACTTCGATATTTCTTACAGGATTGATAGACAAGATAAAGTGGTAGTGAAATATAGGGAATTTTAAGTAACAAAAGACTTCTTCAAATGATCTTTTATTCAGAATTATTTTGAAAGTTCGGTGTTCCACGTTTTTTACATTTTCTTAGTACTGTGTACCAGACTGGTACCGTTTCACCAGTTGCCTTTATGGTTGGTGGGTATTTTTCTACTGATAATGGTCACCCCTGTCAACTGCTGTTTTACTCAGTAAGGCTACGAGGCTGATTTGTTTTATGAATAGTCATCTGGGTCAACTGAGATTAATAAATGATTCTACGTTTGCTCTTTTTTTCATTAAGTAACTTGGAAAGCAACTTGTGAGAGAATTGTACAATGTTGTATTTTTTATTTTTCTGCTTATGGGAATGTCCGATTTACTTAACTATACATTCGACTCTGGATTTCTACGACTTACAGATAAAAATAGGACCCTATATAGATTTGCATTGATCCAAGCTATAACTCTTCACTACAGAAAAGGGAGAGAAAGTGGACAGAGACAGGGTATGACAGAAGAGTGAATAAATCAATTGAAGTAATAGTAAAAGGTTCAAAATTCCGCAAATGATGAAGACCGTGTGGATCTGCACCAATTTGGAAAGTTTTCAGCACTATCAGTAAAGGCCCCCAGTCATTGGTCCTTAGCATCTCGAGGACTTCAGAGAGACAGTCTTCACTTTTCGAGATGATCCACAGCAGCAGCCAATAGCTTTGAGGATCAAAGTTACTTTTCAGTTTAGTCGCACTTATTTTTCCTCCTCCGAACAAATATTATTCATCGTGATAGACGATGGCTAGGTAGATGCAGATTATTTCCCACGTGCGTACGTCCTTTCAGGTTTAAAAAACTCATCGATCAACTTGCTTCTTCGTTTACAGCTCTAGGTATAACGGAAACAATGTTCACCGTGGTCCCACTATACACGATAAATGCTATGAAGAAATCTGTGAGCGAAACTTTTAGTCCGTATCTATCTCCTATTTTAATCATGCATGTATCACAGCCGCAGAAGCTAATAAAGCAGACTGCTGCTCAGTAAAGTCGACCGTTGATTGGTAATCAAATGTTTCGCCGATGCTAGAGACGGAGTTCAGTAAGTCTAGAATGGAATCTTTTACCTGTGGTTGGATTTCAATGCAACCGTCCAGGTAAATGAAGGGGTCAATGTATTTCACCACTTCATTCCCTCTCCTTAAACTAGCGATTAGTGCATGAAAATTCGACCTAGAATGTAGAGAAATTCATTCATGTGGTTAGTTTATTGTGTCATTTTCGAAGTGTGTTGAATATCGCTCATTCAAATGCAAATTACCTCATAGACCACCACTTTATCAGCATTATTTTTTGTTTAAACGGTTCAGTGCCCATGTTAACCAAACTCCGATTATTGCATCAGACGTTTACATTTTCTTTCATTTTATCATCAGTTTCGGCTAACAGGGTTATAGGGTCTCCATACCCTAAAAAGAGACGAAATGGAATATGATCTGTTTGGTTGATTGCTTTTAGTTTTTTGTTTGATAGAGTAATCCAATTTCTAAACACCTTACTGTGAGACTAGTTATTTTAATCGCTACTATATATACACAGATACACTATACTGACTTTGCAAACTTGTCTATTTTCTCAGAACAAAGTAAACAAATACACAAAAAGATGACATTATTTCACTTCAGTTGTATGCATACATTCCTTTTATGCAAGAGATTTGAATGACTCATCATCTTTGAATAATCTCGAATTCAGCATATCTTTTTTCTTGTCTCTTCAATCGTCATCATTATCATGTGCATAAGTGAAGTGAATTAAGGTGTAACCTCTTAGGCCGTTTTGTATTAGTTTTCTATCTTTCCATTTCCACCTCCAATACTCAACACCAATAGCAATAACCAATGATAAATCGATCATCTAAGCAATCAATCAGTATCAGTAGTAGTAGAACTAGTAATGGCTCATTAGTTAGTTAGTTGAGTGAATGAGTAAGTCATCTAGCCACTTTTTTGTTCTTGTCTGTATTACTACCATTTTAGTGAGTATACGTTTTAGCACACCACAAAGTAATCGATAGTAATGATATTGTTATTCTGCTATTGTAGTGATTTCAAGGATATTCATGATAATAATGATGCTGGCGGTGATGATGATGATGATGATGATGATGATGACGCAAAGTTGACAACTGATGCCATCAGAGTTTTAACAGAAAACTTTGATCATAGAATGATTAATTATAACGATTTCAGTAGTCTGAAAATTGGTACTATTGAATGGTATATTATCCAAAGATGAATGACTGATTTGCAAAACAAATAAAATCTCTAAATGTTTATCAGCTTAGCCGTCGATTGGCGATCACTTTTATCAGGCGTAAAGAAAGCTTGTTTTGGTGTGTTTGAGACATGGTTTAATTCTTCTGAAAATATGTATTTCACTTAAATTGATCGCATATCAACAAGCCGAGATACAAAGCAATAGGATCAAAGATAAAGAAATGGAAAAAGTTAAGATAATCACAAGTTAAATAGAAGATGTAGAACCTAGCATACAGGTTCATCGGCTCAACTTTCCACACTTCACAGTAGTACGCAAAGAACAGGTGGACGTAAAAAGAGTTATATCAAAATAGGCGAAGTTTTGTGAAAGAAGAAACAATCTGAGGATAATGCATACTACAAGTATTCATGTCTTAGAAAATGTCAAGAAGTGAATACTTCTACGCCATTGTGACCGATTTTCAACCATATCCAAGCCATCTCAGTCGACTATGATTCACAACCTCATCAATCGATTTGCCTTTTTTTATTAGTACCACTCACCTGACCTCAACATTGTTCACACGGTGATTACACCAAACGCGAGCAAAGCTACGAAGACACCAGGCTGATGCAGCTCCCCAAGTGAAGTGGTCGATATTCCACCACTTCGCTCCTTATCATTGAGCTGGGAGTAGTTGTCGACCAGTTTTGGAGCATCATCTTACATTTGACAGGTGCGAAATGTATGCCAAACATACTCAAATTTCTGCTCAATGCGTTCAGAAAACGCTGGATTTTGTCATTTTCTTCATCCAGCAGGACAATATTGTCTGTATAGTCCAAATCAAAAGTAGTAGAAAGTCACAAAAGAGTGGATAGAACAACGATAAATTTCAGTATGACGATTAGGATGGAGGTAATGCGTAGACGTATCTGGTCCACTGACATTGATTCTGATTTATATCATCTAGAGTCTCCAACCATCAATTCGGGTTATGTCAATGACACCAACTGTGAAGTCTGTATTTTCTATGCACTACGCTCTGCCAACTAGTTGGAGACTTCATGCAGTGTTACCATGTTTCAGTCTGACACAACAGAAAGTCTAAGTATTAACATGCAATATATGTCAAATAAGCTCATATTCAAAATTAAAAATATGGTACCACGAATCAATTTTTCGTTTTTCGTTTCCTGCTGAATCAACTAGGATGGTGACCACATTGCAAAATGATCCATAGAACTCGATCAGCACCTAGGACTAGACAACACGAAGTTGGTTACCCTACGTTGACCAACCAACTTGTCACACAACTTTACAGTATCAATATACAGACCTGTTGGCACAAATATTATATTACGCAGGAGAACTGAATTATCTTTAATGGTCATGTAGGTATCGCAATTTGTCTGGTGAACTCAGTAAACTTAAAAATAACAGCCAATTGAGAAAATTGTCTTTTAGTTATTTCCGCATACTTTTCCATCAACTGCTGCCAAAGATCATTATGGTATCTTCATGGTCATTGTAATACTGCCTAAATAAACGACCAGGTCAACAGTCTGAGCACAAAGGATTCTTGCCTTAATAATATGTTCAACTTATTTGCTTTCCTGTAGTTGAAACATCCATCGTTTCATATCAGAAAACTAGTTTTTTGCACTTTGAAGCTGAATATAAAATCGAGCTATCTGTCAATTCATTGTAAGGCCCTCGTAGACATTGGTGCAGTTACAAGAAACTATGAAAACGGCAAATGAAGTTTCTCAAGCTGTAGGTGATGTATATTGTGTACAAGAAATAAATTTCATGAACTATCTGCAATTTCTGGATGCCTACTTTTTCACATCGATGAATACTGAGTTTAATGGTATTTTTAAATCCCACACAAAGCTGTTCATCTAGAGATCATAGACCCAGTCGTTGAAACACACTACTGGAATATGTGAATTGTGATTATCAGCAGCAGTTCTAACTATCGACAGTAAAAATATTCAGTGTCAGTGAAAGTGTGAGACATCCACTAAAAATCCTTGAATGTATTTAGAAAGTTAATTGACACAGTTCAAAAACTATTCAACTCTACTAGTCATTGGCTGCAGTGTCTTTTGTTCCATGACTGGTTAGTATGGATCCACTTTATAGTGTAGAGATCCATTAACAAATTCATGTGCTGAGGCATCATAGAACAAATACAAAATTCTGTTAGATAGGTTACTGAACTGGCCTAATGAAGATGAAAAATTCAGTTTATGCTATCAACTTAAAACAAAGTTATTATTTCTCGCATATTCAATCTCCACATCATCATGAATGATGTTGCAGGCTGTCATTCTTTTCTTTAAAAGTTATTTGTTATTGGAGCAGTATATTACGAAATATCTTATATTTGAACAAATCTCAGCTTGTTTGAGATAAGAAATTCCAACACTTCGCACGAAAGTCTGGTCCGAGCTAATTCAAGGAAATAATCAAAATCTATATTATCATACATACACATATAACAGATTTTGATTATTCACCTGAAGAGGCTCGAACCAGACTTCCATGCGAAACGTTGGAATTTGTTATCTCAAGCTGAAATTTTGTCTAAATATAACATATATCTGATGTCAACTTTTCGCTCGTTGCCCAATATTTATCAAACTATCCGGTCATATTTTGACGAGGATTCATATCAATAATACCAACTAGTTCATTAACATTTAGAAAGTTTTATAAAAAGCACGCGTCAGTTACAGTTAAACCAAATGCAGTTGTCGGTCTTCTTTGCTCTAAACGAGCACTGAGCTTACGTAATATTTAGCCAGCTTCACTATTACTTTTTATTTTTCTTACAGGTTTACAAGAACCTTTATCTCCACTCTGACTTGCCGGTGAGTTGTTGAGAGTAAATAAAAAGTTAGTATATCTAGGAGACTGTAAATGTGAGTAAAAATTGGAACAGACAATCTCGTTTGTACATTGAGTACTAGAAAAACAATTATCATTTGAACAACCTTTAGTGCTGTCGCAACCAATATGTGTCAACAAAAGTATAGGGTTATAATACTTTCCTGTTCTTAGCTCTCCTGTATGCCTGAGAGGTGTGGAATGTGGAAGTATTAGCTTGACTAGAAAAACGGAATGCAACTAAAATGAGTAAAGTCATCTGTACTATGGTTATGAGACACAATTATTGTATGAGGGCGGTGACTCACGAAACTACCCGGTTGTCCAGACCAAAGTAAGTGGAGCGGGAATCGAATTCAAGACTCATTGCTTAGAAGTCAAGTCCTCAAGTCAATGAAACATATGACCGCTTTTTCCGTTTAGAGATGATAGAGAGTGTTATTTGTATTTTTCAATTCACCTTACAATACTACGTTTGATGAGGCTTTGATACCGAGAATTGTTTTCTCAATCTAGAACTGGCTGAAAGTAACAGATATGTGTTCTCTTTCCGAGTTGATGTTATCAAGTGAAGGATAATCATGCTAGATTAGCATCTGGTGGTCCGTTTTGTTAACTCCTAATGTTTCAAAAATGGAGTCAGTAACCATGCTGTAATTGTTTTTCCTTGTGTTCAAGTGACTATGATGGCCAGCCTAACCAAGTTTATCAGATGCAACTGAAGGCTTGCCACTTATTTTCATTAGGATTAATTTAAATACTCATAATCTTGTAATTTACTAAAGGGCTAGCATGGAATTTAGGACCCGCGTTTCGTCCTATTTGGGACTTGTCAGCTCGATGTACCTGCACCCGGGTTAGTGGTGTTGTCCCCACTGAGACTCGAACCCAGTGCCCATCACCTCAAACCACAAAGAGTTGTCCAGTAGGTCAATGAGGCATAGCAGTATCAATAAATCCAATGTCCAAATACTTTTTCACTTAACAACCGATTAGCTGTTACTGTTTACCTGAAAATCTATTTTATATTTTACAAGCCATATATCGATATTTACAATCACTCGGTATGGCCTTTATTGTTACTCGCTTCTCCTAAGATTTTTAATTTATTGAATATTATTTATTCCATTTAAATTCAGGTAAGGACTTGAAGATATGCCCAACTTTTGAGGGTCATGACGTAGCACTTAAATATCAAGGTATCCTTAAAGGGATTTCCGAAATCAAATAATCTTAATCCACTATTAGCGGCAGCATTATAATTTTTTGTATGTTTACAAACCCCTTACATCTTAAATAATTTCTAGCAACTTCTGACCACATTTTGAGTGTTACAGCAATGCTATTCAACTGTCCCGAAAACCTTCAAAATCCTATCTGTAATTCAAGTGAGTGAGTGTACAAGTCATAGATGGACAATGCACTTCGGCATATAGAGAAGATCAGTGAAATATGTTCAACGGAAAGCATAGGCTAAATATCGTTTTAGCGCATAGAGCTATGACAAAGAGTGAATGGTTGTATAGCTTTTGAAAATTAATCGTTAGAAGAGATTCCCGTTGTTGAACTATTTGCTTTATTGCTTGCCAGGCATATTAACTCTAATTGTAATATCTTTATTGAACTAATTTCTATTCGGATAGGAAGTACAGTGGATATCGACACCTTGAGCTATAGATATTCTGCGTTGCGTGATGAACAGTTTTTGGATAACATTAACGAAGTTATAGCTCTCAAAGGATTGGGTTTAATTTCTACTATATGCTTCAGTCAGATTAGTGTTGTTATCCACTAGGCCCAGTGTTGTGATGGCCAATAACGCGACTATATGATGATCATTAGACAGTTGATTGTCGTTGGAATAGCAAGTTGCTATCGTGGATAGATGGCAAAATCAATAATGCATGCGTTATAAACCGAAGATTTTATGGGATCATATAATAGCGGGAGCCTAATACGATATAAATTTGTCTAACTAATGAATATGAAATACTTGTCTTCTGCTGTGGTCATCATCATATTTACAGCGTTAATTGCATTCTGATGCATATTTCCCCAGATTTATTCCGGTAATCTTATTAGTCTATTTGTTGTCATTTTCCCAACCATTAGGGTATTTTTATTTTCTTTCATTGTCAAATTCCCTCACATTGGGAAGGCTCAGTTTAACAAACACTAAATTGTACTACCATACAGGTTTTTAATGTTAGAAGTCTATTTGGTGTAAAGATATGTAGGTCTTGGTTTCTTGCTTTTTCCCATTAATCATCAACACAGTATATCTGCAACGTAAAGTAAACTAATATTTCCTTTGAGATTTGAAGTTGCATCACTCAATCCTGAAATCCAAGACCGTACTACTATATGCTACTCAAGCTACTACTGAATTCAATGAAGGACAACTGGATTATCTACAAGAATTGATGACCAAATTAGCTGTTATGTTCATAGTATTGTAGGAGCCTATCTGTCAAGCTTGTAATGCACCGGTTAGCTTGTGTGGCATATCCATCATCCACTGATCAATTTGTGTACATAATAGGTTTCCAATCCTTTAAGTATTTGGTTCGTGATAAGTTTAGTACCTTTGTTTAGGTGTTCAGTGGTTTCCTTGTTGTCTATAGGTTTGACCTAATTGGACAACAATTTTGATTTCAAATTGTCCTAATTTTAGCACTTTCCTTGAATTTTTGTGCATATTCATCGATAACACTTTATTTAATGAATATAGTGTTTGTGTATACATATATGTACGGTGCGTACGTGCGCACGCTTAGATGACTAGTTTGTACCCTCCAACGTATTCGATGCACACTATACCACGCTTGAGTAAATCTTATTATGCA